CCCCGTGTCTCTCTCCCCGTGTCTCTCTCCCCGTGTCTCTCTCCCCGTGTCTCTCTCTCCCCGTGTCTCTCTCTCCCCGCGTCCCTCTCCCCGCGTCTCTCCCCCCGTGTCTCTCCCCCCGTGTCTCCCCGTGTCTCTCTCCCCGCGTCTCTCCCCCCGTGTCTCTCCCCCCGTGTCTCTCCCCCCGTGTCTCCCCGTGTCTCTCTCCCCGTGTCTCTCTCCCCGTGTCTCTCCCCCCGTGTCTCTCTCCCCGTGTCTCTCTCCCCGTGTCTCTCTCCCCGTGTCTCTCTCTCCCCGTGTCTCTCTCTCCCCGCGTCCCTCTCCCCGCGTCTCTCCCCCCGTGTCTCTCCTCCCGTGTGTCTCTCCCTGTGTCTCTCTCCCCGTGTCTCTCCCCCCGTGTCTCTCTCTCCCGTGTGTCTCTCCCTGTGTCTCTCCCCCCGTGTCTCTCACCCCGTGTCTCTCCCCCCGTGTCTCCCCGTGTCTCTCTCCCCGTGTCTCTCTCCCCGTGTCTCTCTCCCCGTGTCTCTCTCCCCGTGTCTCCCTCCCCGTGTCTCCCCGCGTCTCTCTCCCCGTGTCTCTCCCCCCGTGTCTCTCCTCCCGTGTCTCTCTCCCCCCGTGTCTCCCCGTGTCTCTCTCCCCGTGTCTCCCCGTGTCTCTCTCCCCGTGTCTCTCCCCCCGCGTCTCTCCCCGTCTCTCTCCCCCCGCGTCTCTCCCCATCTCTCTCCCCCCGTGTCTCTCTCCCCGTGTCTCTCTCCCCGTGTCTCCCTCCCCGTTTCTCCCCGCGTCTCTCCCCGTGTCTCTCCCCCCGTGTCTCTCCTCCCGTGTCTCTCTCCCCCCGTGTCTCTCCGTCTCTCTCCCCGTGTCTCTCCTCCCGTGTCTCTCTCCCCCCGTGTCTCTCCGTCTCTCTCCCCGCGTCTCTCTCCCCGCGTCTCTCTCCCCGCGTCTCTCTCCCCGCGTCTCTCTCCCCGTGTCTCTCTCTCCCCGCGTCTCTCTCCCCGCGTCTCTCTCCCCGTGTCTCTCTCCCCGTGTCTCTCTCCCCGCGTCTCTCTCCCCGTGTCTCTCTCTCCCCGTGTCTCTCTCTCCCCGCGTCTCTCTCCCCGCGTCTCTCTCCCCGTGTCTCTCTCCCCGTGTCTCTCTCCCCGTGTCTCTCTCTCCCCGCGTCTCTCTCCCCGCGTCTCTCTCCCCGTGTCTCTCTCCCCGTGTCTCTCTCCCCGCGTCTCTCTCCCCGTGTCTCTCTCTCCCCGTGTCTCTCTCCCCCCGTGTCTCTCCCCCCGTGTCTCTCCCCCCGTGTCTCTCCCCCCGTGTCTCCCCGTGTCTCTCTCCCCGTGTCTCTCTCCCCGTGTCTCTCTCCCCGTGTCTCTCTCCCCGTGTCTCCCTCCCCGTTTCTCCCCGCGTCTCTCTCCCCGTGTCTCTCCCCCCGTGTCTCTCCTCCCGTGTCTCTCTCCCCCCGTGTCTCCCCGTGTCTCTCTCCCCGTGTCTCTCTCCCCGTGTCTCTCCCCCCGCGTCTCTCCCCATCTCTCTCCCCCCGCGTCTCCCCCAGTGTCTCTCTCCCCCCCGCGTCTCTCCCCCCGCGTCTCTCCTCCCGTGTCTCCCCGCGTCTCTCTCCCCGTGTCTCTCCCCCTGCGTCTCCCCCAGTGTCTCTCTCCCCCCCGTGTCTCTCCCCCCGTGTCTCCCCCCGCGTCTCCCCGCGTCTCTCTCCCCGTGTCTCTCTCTCCCCGTGTCTCTCTCCCCGTGTCTCCCCGCATCTCTCTCCCCGCGTCTCTCTCCCCGTGTCTCTCTCTCCCCGTGTCTCTCTCTCCCCGCGTCTCTCTCCCCGCGTCTCTCTCCCCGTGTCTCTCTCTCTCCCTGTGTCTCTCTCCCCCGTGTCTCTCTCCCCATGTCTCTCTCCCCGCGTCTCTCTCCCCCCATGTCTCTCTCCGTGTCTCTCTCCCCGCGTCTCCCTCCCCGTGTCTCTCTCCCCGCATCTCTATCCCTGTGTCTCTCTCCCCGTGTCTCTCTCCCCGCGTCTCTCTCCCCGTGTCTCTCTCCCCGCGTCTCTCTCCCCGTGTCTCTCTCTCCCCGCGTCTCTCTCCCCGTGTCTCTCTCCCCGTGTCTCTCTCCCCGTGTCTCCCCGCATCTCTCTCCCCGCGTCTCTCTCCCCGTGTCTCTCTCTCCCCGTGTCTCTCTCTCCCCGCGTCTCTCTCCCCGCGTCTCTCTCCCCGCGTCTCTCTCCCCGTGTCTCTCTCCCCGTGTCTCTCTCCCCGTGTCTCCCCGCATCTCTCTCCCCGCGTCTCTCTCCCCGCGTCTCTCTCCCCGTGTCTCTCTCCCCGCGTCTCCCTCCCCGTTTCTCCCCGCGTCCCTCTCCCCGCGTCTCTCCCCCCGTGTCTCTCCCCCCGTGTCTCCCCGTGTCTCTCTCCCCGCGTCTCTCCCCCCATGTCTCTCCCCCCGCGTCTCTCTCCCCGTGTCTCTCTCCCCGTGTCTCTCTCCCCGTGTCTCTCTCCCCGTGTCTCCCTCCCCGTTTCTCCCCGCGTCTCTCTCCCCGTGTCTCTCCCCCCGTGTCTCTCCCCCCGTGTCTCTCTCCCCCCGTGTCTCTCCGTCTCTCCCCCCGTGTCTCTCCCCCCGCGTCTCCCCCAGTGTCTCTCTCCCCGTGTCTCTCTCCCCGTGTCTCTCTCCCCGTGTCTCTCTCCCCGTGTCTCCCTCCCCGTTTCTCCCCGCGTCTCTCTCCCCGTGTCTCTCCCCCCGTGTCTCTCCTCCCGTGTCTCTCTCCCCCCGTGTCTCTCCGTCTCTCCCCCCGTGTCTCTCCCCCCGCGTCTCCCCCAGTGTCTCTCTCCCCCCGCGTCTCCCCCAGTGTCTCTCTCCCCCCTGCGTCTCCCCCAGTGTCTCTCTCCCCCCCGTGTCTCTCTCCCCGTGTCTCTCTCTCCCCGTGTCTCTCTCCCCGTGTCTCTCTCCCCGTGTCTCCCCGCCTCTCTCTCCCCGCGTCTCTCTCCCCGTGTCTCTCTCTCCCCGCGTCTCTCTCCCCGCGTCTCTCTCCCCGCGTCTCTCTCCCCGTGTCTCTCTCCCCGTGTCTCTCTCTCCCCGCGTCTCTCTCCCCGCGTCTCTCTCCCCGTGTCTCTCTCCCCGTGTCTCTCTCCCCGTGTCTCTCTCCCCGTGTCTCTCTCTCCCCATGTCTCTCTCTCCCCGCGTCTCTCTCCCCGCGTCTCTCTCCCCGTGTCTCTCTCCCCGTGTCTCTCTCCCCGTGTCTCTCTCCCCGTGTCTCTCTCCCCGTGTCTCTCTCCCCGCGTCCCTCTCCCCGCGTCTCTCCCCCCGTGTCTCTCCCCCCGTGTCTCCCCGTGTCTCTCTCCCCGCGTCTCTCCCCCCGTGTCTCTCCCCCCGTGTCTCTCCCCCCGTGTCTCCCCGTGTCTCTCTCCCCGTGTCTCTCTCCCCGTGTCTCTCCCCCCGTGTCTCTCTCCCCGTGTCTCTCTCCCCGTGTCTCTCTCCCCGTGTCTCTCTCTCCCCGTGTCTCTCTCTCCCCGCGTCCCTCTCCCCGCGTCTCTCCCCCCGTGTCTCTCCCCCCGTGTCTCCCCGTGTCTCTCTCCCCGTGTCTCTCCCCCCGTGTCTCTCCCCCCGTGTCTCTCCCCCCGTGTCTCCCCGTGTCTCTCTCCCCGTGTCTCTCTCCCCGTGTCTCTCTCCCCGTGTCTCTCTCCCCGTGTCTCCCTCCCCGTTTCTCCCCGCGTCTCTCTCCCCGTGTCTCTCCCCCCGTGTCTCTCCTCCCGTGTCTCTCTCCCCCCGTGTCTCCCCGTGTCTCTCTCCCCGTGTCTCCCCGTGTCTCTCTCCCCGTGTCTCCCCGTGTCTCTCTCCCCGTCTCTCTCCCCCCGCGTCTCTCCCCATCTCTCTCCCCCCGTGTCTCTCTCCCCGTGTCTCTCCCCCCGTGTCTCTCTCCCCGTGTCTCTCTCCCCGTGTCTCCCTCCCCGTTTCTCCCCGCGTCTCTCCCCGTGTCTCTCCCCCCGTGTCTCTCCTCCCGTGTCTCTCTCCCCCCGTGTCTCCCCGTGTCTCTCTCCTCGTGTCTCTCTCCCCGTGTCTCTCCCCCCGCGTCTCTCCCCGTCTCTCTCCCCCCGCGTCTCTCTCCCCATCTCTCTCCCCCCGCGTCTCCCCCAGTGTCTCTCTCCCCCCCCGCGTCTCTCCCCCCGCGTCTCTCCTCCCGTGTCTCCCCGCGTCTCTCTCCCCGTGTCTCTCCCCCTGCGTCTCCCCCAGTGTCTCTCTCCCCCCCGTGTCTCTCCCCCGTGTCTCCCCCCGCGTCTCCCCGCGTCTCTCTCCCCGTGTCTCTCTCTCCCCGTGTCTCTCTCCCCGTGTCTCCCCGCATCTCTCTCCCCGCGTCTCTCTCCCCGTGTCTCTCTCTCCCCGTGTCTCTCTCCCCGCGTCTCTCTCCCCGCGTCTCTCTCCCCGTGTCTCTCTCCCCGTGTCTCTCTCTCCCCGCGTCTCTCTCCCCGCGTCTCTCTCCCCGTGTCTCTCTCCCCGTGTCTCTCTCCCCGTGTCTCTCTCCCCGTGTCTCTCTCTCCCCGTGTCTCTCTCTCCCCGCGTCTCTCTCCCCGCGTCTCTCTCCCCGTGTCTCTCTCCCCGTGTCTCTCTCCCCGTGTCTCCCCGCATCTCTCTCCCCGTGTCTCTCTCCCCGTGTCTCTCTCCCCGTGTCTCCCCGCATCTCTCTCCCCGTGTCTCTCTCCCCGTGTCTCTCTCCCCGTGTCTCCCCGCATCTCTCTCCCCGCGTCTCTCTCCCCGTGTCTCCCTCCCCGTTTCTCCCCGCGTCCCTCTCCCCGCGTCTCTCCCCCCGTGTCTCTCCCCCCGTGTCTCCCCGTGTCTCTCTCTCCCCGCGTCTCCCCCAGTGTCTCTTTCCCCCCCGCGTCTCTCCCCCCGTGTCTCCCCCCGCGTCTCCCCGCGTCTCTCTCCCCGTGTCTCTCCCCCCGTGTCTCCCCGTGTCTCTCTCCCCGCGTCTCTCTCCCCGTCTCTCTCCCCCCCGCGTCTCTCCCCCCCGTGTCTCCCCGTGGTACCTGTGAGGAGCGTGTGTCCCTGTCTCGAACTCGCTCCTTGACGAGGCGGATGAGGGAGGTGATGTTGTAGAACTCTGCCTCCTCAAGAACGCCTGCAGCACGCACACAAAGATCCCCCCGTGTAGCCTCGACAGACTGCTGGGACAAGTTGCTGTTAGCGAACAGCACCTGTGAAGACCAGCACTGTGGTACACGAGAGGGTGGGTGGGTGGGTGGTGCAGCTCCACGCCCAGGCTACACACACACACAGACACACACACAGGCACACAGGCACACAGACAGGCACACACACAGACACACAGACACACAGGCACACAGGCACACAGACAGGCACACACACAGACACACAGACACACAGACAGGCACACACACAGACACACACACAGGCACACAGACAGACACACACACAGACACACAGACAGGCACACACACAGACACACACACAGGCACACATACAGACACACACACAGACACACAGACAGGCACACACACAGACACACAGGCACACAGGCACACACACAGACAAACACAAAAACAGACAGGCACACACGTACACACAGACACACAGACAGGCACACACACAGACACACAGACACACAGGCACACAGACACACACACAGACAAACACAAAGACACACAGGCACACAGACAGGCACACACACACACAGACACACACACAGACACACAGACACACAGACACAAACACAGACACACACACAGATAGACAAACACAGACACAACAACAACCGCAATTTGCCACTAAATGGTGGTGACGTCACCACGACGCTTGTGCCAGGCCATGTGCACCCTGAGGCCACGTGAAGTGTCGAACGCCCGCTGGCAGGAGGTCACGGGGCAGACCCAGCAGGTGCCACAAGTCGACTGACTGAGATGAGTGGCTGATGCACCACCTGTGCCCCTTACTGTGCCAACCTGCTGTGCTTTAGCCACCCGGTGCTCCGCTCGTTGTTCTGAGCGTCGCTCCTCCGCCCTCCGTTGTTGTTGGAGGGCGACTGCCTCCAACTGCCCAGTAGCGTCCTTCACGAGCCTCCTCCACTGAGGCCGATCTCGACACCGCTGGTACCAGTCATCGGCAAGTCCACTCAGCTCCACGTCCTCCTGTACCACATCACTCCATCTATTCTCTAGCCCGTGCCGCGTCCGTTTAGCCCCCTCGATCCGGCCAAACAAAAGCTGTTTCGGCATGCGGTGGCTGGGCATGCGGGCTACATTACCCAGCCAACGCAGCCTTGCCTGCCGGAGGAGCTCACCGATGAGACCTTGCTCAGATCTTTCAAGGATTTGTGAGCTCCTCACACAATCCAGTCTAGATAAACCCAGGATGGATCGTAGGCAGGCCAGCCTAAATGTTTCTAACCGGCGAAGATGTTCCATTAGGGGGGTCCACGTTTCGCAAGTGTAGAGAAGGGAGGGAATGATCATGGCCGAGAAGACCTGAAGCTTCGTGCAGAGTGACAGACCAGGTAGCTTCCACACAGCGTTACGCAACCGATGAAAAGATATTGCCGCTCGACTGATTTGGAGTGAGACCTCTGCTGTTAAACTGGAGCCGGTCATATGCACACTGCCCAGGTATGGGAAACTCTCCACTCTCTCCACAATTACCCCATCACCAATTGAGAGTCTCAGCAGCAACGTCTTCAACTCCTCCTCTGAACGAGCAGCTATTACCAAATCATCGGCATACATAACGTGGTTGAGCAATAGGGAGCCATCCCTTGACCGCACCCGGGCATTGATCAGCCTCCCATTATATCTGTACCAAATGGAGATTCCCCCGGTACAGCTATTGAAGGCTTCACGAACTACGTGCTGAAAATAGATGTTAAATAATGTGGGAGCCAGAGGACATCCCTGTCGCACCCCAAGGTGTACAGGGAATGGCTCTGACTCCCGGCCACGTAGTTTTACCTGGGCCCGCTCACCATCATGAAGGTCCTTAATGATCGTGAGCAGAGGGTCAGGTACTCCAAAAGCACGAAGACCAATCCAGAGCCCAGGCCTACTGATGGTATCATAGGCCTTGACCAGGTCAATAAAGCAGAGATGTAGGTCTTGCTGGAATTCCCTACACCTCTGCTGTAGCAGACAGACAGAAAATATGGCATCTGTGCAGGACCGCCCTTTCCTGAAACCGCATTGGGGCCCCGCAAGCCTCTCCTCAGCGTGCCTGGCAAGGCGATGTTGAATAATCCTTGCCAGGACCTTTCCCAGCACACTGAGGAGTGAGATGCCCCTGTAGTTGTTATAGTCTGTGCAGTACCCCTTCTTAACGTGGGAGACCACCAGGGCATCCTTTCAATCCCACGGAACCCGTCCAGTGGTCCAATCTGTGCACAAACGCCACCCTCCCTCAGCATTTTGCTGGGAGATCATCTCTGCCCGGTGCCTTTCCTGGTCTCAGACTCCGGATCGCCTTCAGTACTTCCTCAACAGATGGCACCTCAGCCAGCCACTCACAGGGGGTGACTTCTTCCAATATTTGAGGCACCTCAGCAGGGTCATCCTCACTTTGTGCCACAATGTTTTCCTGGCTTAGTGATTTCCCCTCCCCCAGGACCTCACAGAAATGCTCAGCAAATCTGCAAACCTGTTCCTGGGGGTCGGAGATTGGATCACCGTTTTTTCCCCTAATGATGGTAATAGGTGTGGCGCTGCAGGTTACTTTTTTGAAGGAGGTAAATAGAGATTTGTGATCGCAGGCCACTGAGGCAGACTCCATCTCCTCAGCAACACGCGACCACCACCCATCCTTGCAGCGCCTCACGGCTCTCCGAACCTCCGAGCCAAAGGCTGCGGTAAGCCTCCTCATTCTCCGACGTGGGATTCTGTAGCCGATGACAGTGGGCCTGTCGCTTTTTCTCAACTATCCTGAACACCTCCTCTGTCAGCCAGGGTCTCTGGGGAGGTCTGGACCGCGTACCCAAAGCAGCCATTGCAGCTGCATGAGTCACAGTCCTAAACCTCGCCCATTTACCCTCGACATCAGGAGGAGTTGGGGACGATGCCAACCCCAGCCGCAAGCGATGATGAAATTCTCGCTTGCAACTTTCATCAGATAACTAAGACCAGGCCACTTTAGGTTGGAATGGGGTCCTGGGTGTACACCCACCAATGGAGTGGAAGAATGGCAGGTGCATCTTACAGATGACTAGTCGATGGTCAGAGGGCAGATCAGCTCCACGGTAGGTCCTGGTGTCAAGGACATGGGCTCGCATCCGCTGGTCCGTCACTATGTAGTCCAGCAGATGTTCTTGCTTGGACCCGGCATGCATCCATGATGTTGTGTGGATGCGCCAATGCTGGAACAGCGTGTTGGTAATTACAAGCCCATGGGCTGCACAAAAATCTAGCCGCCTCCTGCCGTTGTTATTGAGCTGATCTGGCCCATGCCCTCCAATCACTCCAGACCAGGTGCCAGCATCATGACCCACTCGGGCATTGAAGTCACCCAAAAAGATGACTCTATCCCGAGGGGCCACTTTAGCCAGCACCTGTGACAGGAGGTCATAGAAGGCATCTGACTCATCGGCTTTGCCTGCATCCCTCCACGGATGTTCGTCTTCGGTGGGGGCATAAGTAGCCACGACCACCACTCCTCGCCTCCGGTTGATGGGAAGGCGAGCCCAAAGTAGCCTGGGGCTTACAGCATCCCACACCTCACCGCCACGCTCCCACGCCCCCTTCATTCTTTTGTTCAGAAGAAGAGCCACACCCTGTTGTTTGGCAGTCTGCTGCCCCGAGTAGAGGACTGTCCACCCCTCATGGTGGCAGGAGCCAGAACCGGTCCACCGGACCTCCTGAATGCCACAGAGATCCAGGCGGTACCGGTCCAGCTCCCGACAGAGGAGTGGGCAGACTCTCCTCCGCAGTGAGCGTTCGAACATTCCACGTGGCCACACGAAGTGGCTTTTCGTTGTTTCTGGAGGAGCCCCGAGGGTAGAGATTCAATCTCCTGGCTCCGCCAATTGGGGTTTGGCCAGGAGACATCATAGACACCTGTCCCCCCGGGGCCTCCGGCACAAGCTTATTAGTTACATATTTCAGTTTAACTCGTGGTTTAGTGGTAAGTTAATTGAAGGTGGAGGGGTTACCAGCCCCTCGCACCCGTCCAGAGCCCCCGTTTAGCCACTGTGGTGGTCACAGACGCCATGAGGGGAGGGGCCAATCGGAATTGGACCTCCCCCCACAGCACTGTCAACGACAGAGTTGCCCGTCCGGCACCGCGAGGAGACACACAGACAGGCACACACACACACAAACTGGCACACACAGAGACACACAGACTGGCACACACATACACACACAGGCACACACACGGGCACACACATAGACACAACAACCGCCATTCGCCACGAAGTTGAGGTGACATCACCACGACGCTTGTGCCAGGCTACGTGCACGTTGAGGCCACGTGGAGTGTCGAACGCCCGCTGGCAGGAGGTCACGGGGCAGACCCAGCAGGTGCCACGGGTCGACTGACTGAGATGACTGGCTGATGCACCACCTGTGCCCCCTACTGTGCCAACGTGCTGTGCTTTAGCCACCCGGTGCTCCGCAACCTCCCTCAGCATTTCACTTGGGAGATCGTCTCTGCCCGGTGCTTTTCCTGGTCTTAAGACTCTGGATCGCCTTCTGTACTTACTCAACAAATGGCACCTCAGCCAGCCACTCACACGCACACACTCACCAACACCCACTCACTAACTCACCAACACCCACCCACTGACCCACCCACTCGCCCATCTATTCACCCACCCACCCACTCACCTACTCTCTAACTCACCCACTCAGTAACTCACCCGCTCACTTACCGACACACTCACACACACCCACTCACTCTCACACCCACCCACTCACGAACTCACCCACTCACTAATTCAACCACTCACCCACTCACTCACTCACCCACTCACTTATCCAATAACTCATTCACCCACTCACTCACGCAGACACTCACTCTCACACCAACCCACTCACTAACTCACCCACTCACCAACTCACACACACTCACACACTCCCACCACCGCACACAAAACAAACATCCCCCATATAGCCTTAACAGACTGTAGGGGCAAGTGCTGTTAGCGAGCAGCACCTATGAAGGCCGGAACGGTACACGAGGGGGTGGGTGGCCAGCACCACGCCCGACCGCCTTTGTCTCCCCAGTGGCAATGTTTACACACCGCACCAGGTACTCATTTGAGGCTGAGTCGACCTAGGGGAGGCCCGGGACCGGTTCAGATAATCGTCACTGGTGTTGGCCGTGAGCGGGAATCGAACCCGGGTCGCCAGGTTCATAGTGCAGCGTAGCGCTAACCGCTGCACTATCGCTCCCCTAACTCGCTCACCCACTTGCCCACCCACTCGCTCACCCACTCGCCCACCCACTCGCCCACCCACTCACCCACGCACCCACTCACCTACCCACTCACTCACCCTCCTCGGCCAGCTCCTTGTCCATCACCAGCTTGCCATGCCTCAAGTAGTTGAGCACGGGACCAAAGTATGTGGGGTCCCTGTCAATGAGGAACGCTCCTGTCTCGTCCTGCACACTCACACATACACACTCACTCATACACTCACTAACACACACACACTCACTCATACACTCACTAACACACACTCACTCATACACTCACTAACACACACACTCACTCATACACTCACTAACACACACACTCACTCATACACTCACTAACACACACACTCACTCATACACTCACTAACACACACACTCACTCATACACTCACTAACACACACACTCACTCATACACTCACTAACACACACACTCACTCATACACTCACTAACACACACACTCACTCATACACTCACTAACACACACACTCACTAACACACACACTCACTCATACACTCACTAACACACACACTCACTCATACACTCACTAACACACACACTCACTCATACACTCACTAACACACACTCACTCATACACTCATTAACACACACTTACTCATACTCACTCATACACTCATTAAGACACATATACACTCACTAACACAAACATACACTCACTCATACACTTACTAACATACACACTCATTCATACACTCAATAACACATAATACACTCACACACTCACTCGCACACACACTCACTCAAACACCCAATCATCCACTCACTCACTCAGCCACTCACTCACACAAAAAACACTCACTCAATCATCCACTCACTCACTCAGCCACTCACTCACACAAAAAACCACTCACTCACCCACTCACTCAATCATCCACTCACTCACTCAGCCACTCACACAAAAAACACTCACCCACCCACCGACTCAATCACCCACTCACTCACTCACCCACTCACCCACCCACACAATCACCCACTCACTCACTCAGCCACTCACACAAAAAAACACTCACCCACCCACCGACTCAATCACCCACTCACTTACTCAGCCACCCACTCACCCACCCACACAATCACCCACTCACTCACTCAGCCACTCACTCACACAAAAAACACTCACCCACCCACTCAGACAATCACTCACTCACCCACCCACTCAGACAATCACCCACTCACTCACCCATCAGCTCCATCTAAAGCCCGTACCTCACCACACTGCACACTCACCACACTCTCACCACACCCTCACCTCACCATCACCACAACGCACCCCCTCACCCAAGCAGCCAACCACACCAACCTCACGGACACACACTTCCACGGTCTAATCAGCCGGACAACCGTTCCGTTGTAACGCGCACCGACGCCCACTTTATTGAGGGCGACATTGGCACAGAAGAACGTGAAAATAAATCACCAAAAACATGGATAGCCACCAATACAACCGCGCACCCACCCCCTCCCCCCCCGAGGCCTACCCGTCCCTACCGACTTACCCTCACCTGCCCGGGCAGGGCAAACTAGGCAAGACCGGTGTATAACCACCCGCCCCCTCCCCCAGCTATTGACCTTATCCGAGTCCAGGTCAGGGTCGTCTTGGCAGAGTCTGTAGAGAAAGGACTTGGGGTCCCGGCACAACGTCTGTTTCGTGGTGACGAACAACGTTCCGCCAACGTTAAGGCGAACCCAGGGAGACGGAGGAGAGGCCGCCATTTTTTTGAGCGGTCAGGTGCGGGGGGAGGGGGGAGTGGGGGTGGAGAATTCGCTTCCGCTTCCGGTCGGCGGCTTCCGCTTCCGGTCAGGGGCTTCCACTTCCGGAAGCGGTGGAGGGCGGGAAACTTGCGGTAGACATCTTCCGGAAGAGGCAGAGAGAAAGGGGTTTGGTGGGGGGGGGAAACCAGCGGTAGATATCTTCCGGAAGACGCAGAGGGAAAAGGTGGTGCGAGAGAGGAATTCATAGAGAGAGAAAAAACGGGCGGTAGACTTCTCCGGAAGCGGTAGAGGATGGGTGAGAGAAAAAGGATCCTAGTAAAAAACAAACAGAAGTCATCTTCCGGAAGAGAGCAGCCTCAACAAAAAAACGGACGGAAGCCCTCTTCCGGAAGAAGGCAGAGTTCTTCCGGTAGAAGGCATTGATCTTCCGGAAGAAGGCAGAGATCTTCCGGTAGAAGGCAGAGATCTTCCGGAAGAAGGCAGAATCTTCCGGTAGAAAACAGAGATCTTCCGGAAGAAGGCAGAGATCTTCCGGTAGAAAACAGAGATCTTCCGGTAGAAAACAGAAATCTTCCGGAAGAAGGCAGAGATCTTCCGGAAGAAGGCAGAGATCTTCCGATAGAAGGCCGAGATCTTCCGGAAGAAGTCATAAATCTTCCGGTAGAAGGCAGAGATCTTCCGGAAGAAGGCAGAGTTCTTCTGGTAGAAAGCATTGATCTTCCGGAAGAAGGCATAGATCTTCCGGAAGAAGGCAGAGATCTTCCGGTAGAAGGCAGAGATCTTCCGGTAGAAAACAGAGATCTTCCGGTAGTAGGCAGAGATCTTCCGGTAGAAAACAGAGATCTTCCGGTAGAAGGCAGAGATCTTCCGGTAGAAAACAGAGATCTTCCGGTAGAAGGAAGATATCTTCCGGTAGAAGGCAGAGCTCTTCCGGAAGAAGGCAAGAGATCTTCCGGAAGCAGGCAAGAGCTCTTCCGGAAGATGGCAGCCTCACACAAAAACGGACGGAAGGCTGCTTCCGGAAGAAGGCTAGACGTCTAAAATAGATAAATAAATAAAAATCCTCGCCACGCCATTGGTGGCCCGCGAGCATCCCCCCCACCCGCCGCACGTGACCGATCGCCAACCAATCGCTGTGACGCGTTACCACCCCCACCCCCCATCACCCACGGCGCTATCAGTCCCAGGCGGTCTTCGCAAGCGTCGCGCGCAGAGTTCATTAAGCGATCGATAGTTCGGGATTTCTTTTTAATTTGTTTTTGTTCAATCGATTCGTCATGTCGGCCGTCGCCGTCGGTCGGCTGGGGCTCCTGACGAGAGCTGCTCGAGCGTTGGTGACGAAAAACTGCGCCTACAGCGTCAGGTGAGACACCTCGGGTGGCGTTCAGGCCGAAGCCTCGGTGCTCGCCTGAATTTGCTGCGGGGATTCGAGCCCACCGCGGGCCCGGCGGGTCGAGAAGAAGCAAGCGGCGTCCGTGTCTGTGCGCGCGTGTGGGAGAGTCTACGGGCCTCTGTGTGTGTGTGTGTGAGTCTGTGTGTGAGTGTGAGTCTGTGTGTCTGTGTGTGTGTGAGTCTGTGTGTGTGTGTGAGTCTGTGTGTGTGAGTGTGTGTGTGTGAGTCTGTGTGTGTGTGAGTCTGTGTGTGAGTGTGTGTGAGTGTGTGAGTCTGTGTGTGTGTGAGTCTGTGTGTGTGTGTGAGTCTGTGTGTGTGTGAGTCTGTGTGTGTGTGAGTCTGTGTGTGTGTGTGTGTGAGAGACTGTGTGAGTCTGTGTGTGTGTTAGGGATGTCCTCTGGCTCCCACATTATTTAACATCTATTTTGACAACGTAGTTCGTGAAGCCTTCAATAGCTGTACCGGGGGAATCTCCATATGGTACAGATATAATGGGAGGCTAATCGATGCCCGGGTGCGGTCAAGGGATGGCTCCCTATTGCTCAACCACGTTATGTATGCCGATGATTTGGTAATAGCTGCTCATTCAGTCAGAGGAGGAGTTGGAGACGCTGCTGAGACTGGAGCGTGCCACTAAGAGGTGGGGCCTTACCATCAGCCCCACCAAAACTAAGCACCTGCCTGGGTATTTTGTACCATCGGACACTCCACCCCCACAACTCCCAATCCGTGATGGGGCAGTTGTGGAGAGAGTGGAGAGTTTCCCATACCTGGGCAGTGTGCTTATGACTGGCTCCAGTTTAACAGCAGAGGTCTCACTCTGAATCAGTCGAGCGGCAATATCGTTTCATCGGTTGCGTAATGCTGTGTTGAAGCTACCTGGTCTGTCGCTCCGCACTGAGCTTCAGGTTCTCTCGGCCACGGTCGTTCCCTCCCTTCTCTACGCTTGCGAAACGTGGACCCCCCTAATGGAACATCTTTGCCGGTTAGAAACATTTAGGCTATCCTGCCTACGATCCATCCTGGGTTTAACCAGACTGGATTGTGTGAGGAGCTCACAAATCCTTGAAAGATCTGGGCAGGGTCCAATCGGTGAGCTCCTCCGGCAGGCAAGGCTGCGATGGCTGGGTCATGTAGCCCGCATGCCCAGCCACCGCATGCCGAAACAGCTTTTGTTTGGCCGGATTGAGGGGGCTAAGCGGGCGCGGCACGGGCTAGAGAAGAGATGGAGTGATGTGGTACAGGAGGACGTGGAGCTGAGTGGACTTGCCGATGACTGGTACCAGCGGTGTCAAGATCGGCCTCTGTGGAGGAGGCTCGTGAAGGATGCTACTGGGCAGTTGGAGGCAGTCGCCCTCCAACAACAACGGAGAGCGGAGGAGCGACGCTCAGAACAACGAGCGGAGCGCCGGGTGGCTAAAGCACAGCAGGTTGGCACAGTAGGGGGCACAGGTGGTGCATCAGCCAGTCATCTCAGTCAGTCGACCCGTGGCACCTGCTGGGTCTGCCCCGTGACCTCCTGCCAGCGGGCGTTCGACACTTCACGTGGCCTCAGGATGCACATAGCCTGGCACAAGCGTCGTGGTGACGTCACCGCCACTTAGTGGTGAATGGCGGTTGTTGTTGTGTGAGTCTGTGTGTGCGAGTCTGTGTGTGTGTGTATGAGACTGTCTGTATGCGAAATTGTCTGTGTGTCTGTGTGTGTGCGAGACGGTCTGTGTGTGTGAGTATGTGTGTGTTAGTCTGTGTGTGTGTCTGTGTGTGTGAGTCTGTGTCTCTGTGTGAGTCTGTGGCTCTGTGTGAGTCTTTCTCCGTGAGTCTGTGAGTCTCTGTGTGAGTCTGTGTCTCTGTGTGAGTCTGTGTCTCTGTGTGCCTCTGTGTGAGTCTGTGTGTCTCTGTGTGAGTCTCTGTGTCTCTGTGTGAGTCTTTCTCCGTGATTCTGTGTGTCTTTGTCTCTGTGTGAGTCTGTGTGTGTCTGTGTGAGTCTCTGTGTGTCTCTGTGTGAGTCTGTGTGTCTCTGTGTGAGTCTGTGTGTCTCTGTGTGAGTCTGTGTGTCTCTGTGTGTCTCTGTGTGAGTCTGTGTGTCTCTGTATGAGTCTGTGTGTCTCTGTGTGAGTCTCTGTGTCTCCGTGTGAGTCTGTGTGTCTCTGTGTGAGTCTGTGTGAGTCGGTGTGTCTCTGTGAGTCTAGGGGTCTCTGTGTGAGTCTAGGGGTCTCTGTGTGAGTATTTGTGTCTCTGTGTGAGTCTGTGAGTCTCTGTGTGAGTCTGTGTGGCTCTGTGTGTCTCTGTGTGAGTCTGTGTGTCTCTGTGTGAGTCTTGTGTGTCTCTGTGTGAGTCTCTGTGTCTCCGTGTGAGTCTGTGTGTCTCTGTGTGAGTCTGTGTGTCTCTGTGTGAGTCTGTGTGTCTCTGTGTGAGTCTGTGTGTCTCCGTGTGAGTCTGTGTGTCTCCGTGTGAGTCTGTGTGTCTCCGTGTGAGTCTGAGTCTCTGTGTGTGTCTCTGTGTGAGTCTGTGAGTCTCTGTGTGAGTCTTTGTGTGTCTCTGTGTGAGTCTCTGTGTGAGTCTGTGTGTCTCTGTGTGAGTCTCTGTGTGTCTCTGTGTGAGTCTCTGTGTCTCCGTGTGAGTCTGTGTGTCTCTGTGTGAGTCTGTGTGTCTCTGTGTGAGTCTGTGTGTCTCTGTGTGAGTCTGTGTGTCTCCGTGTGAGTCTGTGTGTCTCCGTGTGAGTCTGTGTGTCTCCGTGTGAGTCTGAGTCTCTGTGTGTGTCTCTGTGTGAGTCTGTGAGTCTCTGTGTGAGTCTTTGTGTGTCTCTGTGTGAGTCTCTGTGTGAGTCTGTGTGTCTCTGTGTGAGTCTCTGTGTGTCTCTGTGTGAGTCTCTGTGTGTCTCTCCCTCCCCCCTCTCTCTCTCCTCTCCCCCACTGCTGCTGCAAGGCGTCGCCAGCGCAGCCTCCACACGGCAGTGGACGAGGGGTCGCAGCGAGGAGCGAGCGGCCGAAGAGTCACCACCACCACCACCACCACACCGCTCACCACCACCACCACCACACCGCTCACCACCACCACACCATTCACCACACCGCTCACCACCACCACCACCACACCGCTCACCACCACACCGCTCACCACCACACCGCTCACCACCACACCGCTCACCACCACCACCACCACCACACCGCTCACCACCACCACCACCACACCGCTCACCACCACCACCACCGCCACGCTCACCACCACCACACCATTCACTACCACCACCACCACACCGCTCACCACCACCACCACCACACCGCTAACCACCACCACCACCACACCGCTCACCACCACCACCACACCGCTAACCACCACCACCACCACACTGCTCACCACAACCACACCGCTCACCACCACCACACCGCTCACCACCGCGGCCGTGCGGGACGACGCCCCGCTGCCGTTCCTGGGTGGGCCCGGCTCCCCCAGCCGCTGGGCGGTGGCGAGGAGCTTCGGCCGTGGCCAGGAGCAGCCGGCGTGGCGAGCGGCGCTGCTGAGCGGCGGCCTGGCGGCCCTGCTGCTGTGGTGCGCCCTGCGCGGGGAGTCCAACGTCGACCACAGGCTGGGGGCCGTGGTGGACGCCGCCGTGGTGGACGCCGGGGTGGACGCCGCCGGGGTGGACGCCGCCGGGGTGGACGTCG